CCCCACCCCCCCCAGCCTGCCCCCGCCGGGGGGCGCCCCCAGCCTCTGCCCATCTCCGTGGCTCCTCTGGACTCGCTCCAACAGGTCCAGGTCTTTTTTATGTTGGGGGCCCCAGAGCCGGACGCAGCACTCCAGGTGGGGTCTCAGGAGAGCAGAGAGGGAGAACCACCTCCCTCGACCCGCTGATGAACACTTTCACATCACTATCTATACACACAGTCTGCCAACACCTTAACTGGAAGTTCTCACATGCTCAAAAGCCGTCCTTTGTAAGGCTAACTTGGCCCTCAGTTCATGTGGGTGGTTTTCTACATGCCCTTTTTAGGAGTCCAGACATTCATCTTAAATCTCAGTGCTTGGTTCTGCTCACTGCATGGCCACAGAAGTTGTGCAAAAAAGAAACCATCATTCTTCATGTTACAGCTTACCTCCTTTCCTGTGTACCATAACACTGCTAGTATTTTTTTGTAACTTTGTCTCTCATCTTTCTATTCATGCAGAAGAAAAAGTTATTCAAGAGGCATTCTCCTTTTTATTTTCCAAGCCTAATTCTTTCTATTAGCTTTATATGTGTTAAAATAGTTTTTCCCCAGGTCACTGAAGACATTGTGCAACAAGTTAAAAACCTGCCACAGTACATCACGGGGGCTGTAAGTGCTCTCCCTTCTGTCTCCATCCTCTGTTGTTATGTTCCAGAGAAGTCTGTTCACCGCCACTATGCATGTCAGACCTTCTCCCTTGCCTCAAAATATTTTCTCTGCTCATTGCCTGAAACCAAGGTGAGTCCTGCTAGAATACACCATAATACTGTATTTCTAAAGAATCTTCCAAAGCATATTAACCTTCTGAAGTCTGCCACTCCACCCCACAAACACTGCAAGCGTTCCAGGCACATGCTTGTGTTCCCTGTGCTGTTAACCCAGAATCAGAAACCTTCAAAATGTACATTTCCTTCGGTGAACAGCCTTGAATTAATAATATTGTCACCTGCCCTTTGCTTTACTGTTTTGCTGCGTACTTCCAAACCCCAGTTTTTACTGACATTTGAAGAGTTCTGGAAAAAACCAAACCTCAAAACCCCACCAAACTCGATGCTGCTGCAGGCCAAGAATAATGCTTCCCACATACTGCCTGGGACTTCACTGCTCTAACAGAAGAAAAGCAGTACTTAAAATTAATTCGCTGTTTTGGTTAGCTGTTTCATCATTGCTTTCTCTTACCTGTATTACAACACTTTTAAAAAATATTATTCAAGTAACTCTATTGCTAGATAGACATGCAGGAAAGAGAAACTTGGCTAATTAATTTAGATCAGTAAAATTATGACAAAAGCAAATGTTTTGTTTTTACTTTTAATAACCAAGCATAATGGAATCAACCATAATACTAATTCATTTGCTTCTGACTACGAACGATGGATGAAATTTCAGACCTCTGAATTCAAAGTGATCATCACCGCACAGAAGCAAACTATTATTTCCAGGCTTGCAAAGCGCAACACATACTGCATCTGGAAGAGCAGCCAAGTTTGCCTAGCCACGAAAGCCTTTCATGTACCGCTTTTCTTTGCGTTTCAGGATAAGCAAGCACTATGTTAGAGAATGGTACAAAGGCTCCAAGTCACTTGGTCTTATTTCTTTACGCTAAGTTGGTTGAGCCCAACAGAATAGACAAAAAGGCTGCACAGCTGCCACATGCCCTTTTCCTGCCTCCCCTTTTTTCTTTTTTAAATTAGAGCTCACGCTCTCCGCAGCAATGGGGTCAGCCCCCGTCCCAGCTATGCTAGTGGAAATCTGGATTAACAGCAACTGGAATGCAGACAGATAAAAAACAGGGAACAAAGAAAGAATGAGCAGGCAGACTGACCAAAATAGCACTTCCAGGCTGTGCTGAAGGCCAGCCAGCCACGTGAGCTCTGCTCCGAGTAGTGAAGAAATTAGTACAGAGGCTTTTTTCAATGACTGCATTGTCCAATTAATATTTTCTCTCTAAAAAGAACACAAAAATTGGATGGCAATTCTGAAGAAAACTGACTAGCATCAGTGTTGCTCCTTCCTGGCTCCACCAAACAGTAAATGGAATGAAGACAGCTATACACACAGCTTACGGACGCTGCATCATGAAATGCTCCCTGTTGTGTTGGTCCTAGCACGATCGCACCATTTTATCTGGAATTCCACATCATCAAACTAATTCATTTCAGATTAAACAAAAGGTAAAAATCCTATTAGGGAAATATTTTCACATTCTTTCTGAAAAATGCCAAAAGCCATTAATCAAATGGGAAAGTACTATCAGTGACCTGTTTTTAGATTCTTTTTATTTAAGGGGAGCTGCTGTGTGCCAGCTCTGTGTGATCTGCCAACTCTTTTTTTTTTCCCCCCTTAAAATAAACCCCTAAACAAACTTGACTAGTAGATTCTCTTTATAATATAACCCCTCTAAATGCAGAGCTACACATATGTAACACTCAGCAGAACTACTGAAGCTCAAGTTCAGTTTTTCTCCTTACAAAAATACATATAGAATTTTATTAAAAAACAACAGAGCACCACAGTCCTTACCAATGTCCTGAGTGTCTTGGTTGCTCTGCCTGGTTCTCATCTGTAGTTGGAACTTATGCTGGGAAGAGCAGAGATGCAAAAGGTACTGGCAAGTCTTACTATTGTCAGTCTGAAATGCATGCTTGATACCATCTGATGTGTTCTGCAAAGTTATTTTCTTCTTCTACACAACAGAGGAAGAAAAAAAAAAACTGAAGACAATGATTTCTTTTTAGCCTACAAAGAATTTTGTATTTGCTTGTGCACAACGACAGCATTCAAATGTTCCTCAAGCAAAATGCACTGATGGGAAAGACTTCTGTTTAAAATAGGGGCTGAAAGTAATTTGAGATTTACAAAGTAGCACTTTAAAGCTACTTCTGGGCTCGCTGAGATGGTACTTCATTATTTAATCAGTTTCCATTCCTGTTAGTGCTGACTAATGACAAGCAGCACTGTTGCATTTTGCAGGACAGGGTTTTCAACAGCCTCCCAGGAAGCTCCCAGGGGTGCTGCCACTCAAGAGAAAAAGAACTAGATGCCCATCTAATTGTGAAACCTGTAAATTTATGTTCCAGGTCTTGAATTAATCTTTTTAATAGTTTTTAAACTTCAATTTAGCAATTGGAGTTAAAAATCATACCACAGATGAAACAGGCTGTAGCTTTTCCATCAGGTATCAGCAGCCCCAGTTAGAGGTACTGGTTTCAATACCTGCGTAGAAGTGAGCATTCGAAGCTCAACATCTCATTAAAAACCGACACACGACCACCAGCTTATGGTCTGCCCACTAAAGGTGGCCGGTATGGTCCAGCTCAAGCGCCAGCCCCTCTCATCCATCATCATTTCACTTCACTACTCTTGGAAATATAACAAGTGAAAAGCAACACAGGTGCAGCTCCTAGTTACATCAAGTCTGGGCATTTCCCAGCATCCAGCCATCTAAGGCAGGATTGTCACCCTGCTGCTCCTTCACTCCCCGTGGGCCACACGGCAGCACGGGAACACTGCCCCAAAGAGTGGTGAATAGGCAGGGCTGCTCCCCGTGCTCAGGTGGGCCCCTGATCCATCTTCATAACAGGTCTTTTGTTAGAAGACACGGAAACCACATTTCACACCCATAGAGGTTTGCCATTGTGTACTTCAAAACTCTAAACTTTCTTCTGAGGCTGGAACCCCAGCAGCATAGAATAGAAGTTAATAAACAGAAAAAAAAAATCTTGAAAACATCAAAAGTCCTATTTCAACCCCATAATACAACACAGCTCAGCCACACAAAATGTAGTCACAGACTGAGCTGTGAAATAGCAGCTTAATTTGCAAAAATAACAAACACACCCAACCAGTATCTCAAGAGACCACTATAGACATGTACACACAGCCAGAGGAACAGAAATCAACTTACACTAAAGGATATCTTCTTTGTTTCTCTCCACGGGAATCGTAGCACAGGTGTGCGGGCACCATTGTGGACTTCAAAAATCACAACTCCTTTGGAGCACACTCCCAGAAGGATACCTGTTTGGGATCTCTTCTCGGGCAACACGTGATGAAGATGAACCCCATATTCTGTGAGCCTCTGACACAGCTGAACAGATCAATGCAATGAAACTTCTAAGAGCATGAAGTTAAGGCTATCACACATTTTTTAATACCTCTATGGAAATATTGTAACTCTACATAAATAT